AACTTTCATGGAGCAAATTGTCTATCATGATCTATAACATTTATGAGTTCTATGAGCTTTGCCATACAGTTATTTCTTTCACATTGGGTGATATGTACGTTTCTTTTGTTTTGCATAGCATCAGCTGTTCCCTCTTTCCCACTTGATCCCTCCCTCCCATCGCTGCCATTGTGGGAATTTTTTGTTTACTTTTACTCCTATTAGAAGGGTAGCATGTCATTTGGAAAACTGATTGCAGCCATTTTTATGTGTGGTAAGACAACCTTTCGCTGTGCTATCTGCACAGGTTTGGGAGCACAGAAGGCAATGTTAGGAGTTACAACCTCTTTCATGTCTTAGATGATGCCTGTTCCATTCACATGTTATTCTACTTATCTTTTTTATTACTAACATTTGCATATCTCTTTTATTACCAACCTTTTCTAGGTTTATTTTCCCATAACTATACGTAGTGTATTTGAGTGTTTTTGTTCATATGCTTTTGTGACACTTTGAGGAATGTCGTTGGTGCTAGCAACAGTTTCTTTGTTCCTTCCAGATGTGGAAGATTTGTGTGTAGTTATGAGATATCTGGTCTGACTCTTCTTAGAAATCAAGGAAGAAGAAAAGTATGTCTGGTACTTGTTAAAGTTTGTCAGTGACATTTTCCCATCAAGGCTCTCTCAGATACATTTGGACAAGTATAATGAGAAAAGTTGGGCTCAGCCTTGAGGATAGCCTGGCCCCAACAAAGTTACAGTCAAGGATAGAAAATTTCTAAGAAGAAATCTATGGCTGTCAGAAGATTCTACAGAGACTGAGCGATTAGTATTCTTGTTCAATGCAGGTTATGTGATCAAATATCTTTTCTGTCATGTACAAGATGAATCTTGAATGATAAACTTTGCCTGTGATAGCTGTACAGATTTGAGAGCACCTGCTGAAGCTCTAGAAACTACAGTGTTTTCCCTGCTGTAGGAGACTAGATCTTTTTCACATGCCATCCCTAAACCTTTTTATTAACACTTATTTTATTAGCACTTCTTATTTTATTAACACGTATCTTCTTATTAATACTTTCCTGTTTCCTGTTTCCTTTTCCATTAAAATCCAAGTGGTATTTGGCTATTTTGTAGATGTGTTTATATATTCTCCTTGATGTCTGTGGTTGCTGGTGGTGGTTCTTTCTTAGCTATTATCAGATATGCAGGCTTTGTGAGTGGGTGCCATGGAAATCTGACCCAACTCTCCTCAGACTCTCGGTAGTAAAATTTATACCTGGTAGGTCCTGAAGTTTATCAGTACCATTTTCTCCATGAAGGCTTTCTCATAGATATTTGTGAAGAGGTTTGGCAGTAGATGAAAGATTGTACTCTACCTTGAACATGATCTAAATAAATCGTATTAAATGCTCAGGAGAGGATTTGTGAAATAGAAAAAATTACTGAGAGGACATCTTGAGTCTCAAAGGACTCTGGCTAAATTGATTTAATCGTGATCATATTCATTTTGTTTATGTGTGATCTAACATCATAGATTAATGATCACATATCAGAGTTGTTTGAAGTATGTATTGAATAGACAACAGTGACAGGACTGACAATGATTTCATGGGATATTCAGGTTAGCTCAGGATGCAGTCTTTGCCAGATGTGATGGGAGCTTTGCCTCACATGGTCTTCATCCTAGCAGAGTCTGTACTCTGAGAGCTTCCTAGAAGCAAGGTGAGGCTGCCGGAAGAGCTCTTGTGCTCCGTTATCTGTGTGATGATTCAGGCAGTGGCCCTGTACATAACCTTGTATACTCACAGCCCTATCTACCTCTGACAAAAATACAACTTCTTGTTACCTGAGATTTTTATATCCATGCCAATTAATTCACTAGAAAGATGTTAGGCGCTCAGTGGAATGTCTTGATTCATGATCAGATCCAGAGGTGCAGAAAGTAACAGTAGGATTTCAGAATGTATTGCTATACAATACATTAATATTTGAGTCATATTTTACTTTTTTTAACATCAGTGGTCCATTGGGTCAGATAATTTATACACAGCACGGGTACACAAATTTATATCAATGTCCTTCTCATATGCTGTACATTATTGTTTACAATACATTTTAAGAGAAATTATTCTCTATCTCACCTTTGGGATTTTTCATCCTTTAGAGTCACCATGGCCAGTTTATGTCTGTCTATCCAAGAGCCCCTAAAGACATATCTCTAGCCTTTCACACAGTTTTCTTGATGGTTGACTTCAGCTGGAGCTTGGTGGGTCTAGTGATCTCAGAGGGTGAGAATGGTTTGTGGATTTGTGGATTTGTTCACAATATAATTATTATAACTATGAACTAGTATGTGTGTGTGTACTATATTATGATCTCTCCAGACATTGATATAATGAACTCTTACCCAATTCAAATATCTATATATGTTCTTCTCTATTTCCTCTCTGATTTTACTTTTTCAAACACTATTTGTTGGGATACTTTTTTTTTGTATGTGTAGGTGTACCTTGCATTCATTGTTCAAGTGTGTGTACTTACTATACACATACCCATTCCAAATACAATTTACTAAGACATACAGAAAAGGACCATAGGTCTCTCATCCTGAACTTACAGCAAATTGTTGGATGTAGTCATGTGTTTTTTGTTTGATTATGTGGCAGCATTTCATGTGCATTCTATGCTCCACGATACAGCAGGCATTGAGAACACTAATGGAAAGGGATTACCAAACCTACTTGTATGATAGAATCTATGATTAGTTTAAACACTAATTCAATGGCAGAGTCCAAACAATTAATGTAGCAGGAATCTAAAATAAATCTATTGCCTATATGCCAAGTGTATGCTGTTCTCTTGGTTGAGTGTAAATTCTATATAGATGAAAATTTTATGTCATAATTTGCCTTGTGTGGGTGTCTCATATCCATACTCAAAGTACTCAGAATGCTGAAATCTATGTATACCATAAGGAAGGGAGACAATGGAGAGGCGATCTTTAATGGAGGGATATTATTTGTACTTGCCCTCAAATAAGGCATGTTACAGGAAACAATACTGAACTATACTTAAAGCTAAACAGACAGAGGATGAGGCCCCAGCAATACTACATGGGCATGTGCATCAACATGTCATTTGGAAAAGTTTCAGAGCAGGCCAATTGAACAAGTTGAATAACGGCACAAAGTGAGATTTCTCAATCAGAGGAGGACAGTTCAAAGCCACTGTGCTTTGTGAAAAGAAATTCATATAGAAATCCTCTTAAAAAGTCCCTCTCTCTTTCTCTCTCTGTCTCCCTCCTTCACTTACTTCTCTTTACCTCTCACTCTTCTTTTCTTTCCCTTCTACCGTTAGCTCTACCTTTAAAATACTCAATAATGTTGTAAGGGCAGAGGCTTCCAGAGAGAAGGAATGTCTGTCTAAATACAAGTAATTTCTCTTCTTAGCCTGCAGTTAAGTTTAGAGAAAACTTGAGCCAAAAATGCACAGTTCAATTGGAAACACTCTCAAAACCCAAATCAGTTTCTTGTATTGGCAAGATACAAGAGCCAGCTTCAATATCTCATCATGTAGGAAAGGCAATACTTAAATCATGATTCCCATTGTCACTTGCATATGGTAAAATGATGGGCAACCATACAACAGCAAGTTCCCAAAAGAACAGCATTACATAAAAGTGCTTCACTGCTTTGAAAACTTTCTATGACTTCATCAGAAAGAATGACATTGCCCCATTTGTTGGGAAATGGAAAGACTTGGAAAAAATTATATTAAGTGAAGTAAGCCAGGCCCAAAGAAATATAGGTCCCATGGCTTCCCTTATTTGTAATAAGTAGTATATGTCTCAGAGAAGCAGAAACAGTCAGATAAGTAGATGGTAGGCAAAATGAACCCCAAGATAAGGACTCAAATGCTTTTTCTTTCTTGCTATTATTTCTAACATATTTATAAGGTATTTCTTTGTTGCTTTGTATATCCATCTTCCAGGGTATAACACTGTTTTCACTGTATTTGATGTTGGTATAATTAATGGAGGGGAAGGGAAAAAAACAAATTGTTTAAATAGGGATACAGATGGACCTATTGCAACAATGAGATGTACAAGTCTCTATGTCAAAAAAAGAACTTTACAACTTTGGCACAGAGAGTGGGAGACAGGTGGTGCGGTGGCCAGATGGGAAGGGATGGGAAGGGGAAACAAAGGAGGAGGAAAAGAAATGAACTCATTACCTTGCACATGTAATTGGAAACCCTCTGTACGGTATTTTCACAAAAAAAATCTCTATATTCATTGTGCATAGAGTCTTCTGATGGCTCATGTGTGTGCAAACTATTTAGATTGGTAGGAGCTAGAGTTTCTTTTGTACTATTTTCTTTGTTTGAGGCACAGAGAAGGATTATTACACAAACTCATATTCAAATGGGTACAGATACCTGTATGGCTCATACCAGCAATGTTCCCTCACTGGCTTTAGCCATGGGTGTGGGAGGTTCTCCCCACCTTTGATTGTGGAGCGTAATGGTCAATGACTTGGATAGGGCCTTTATTTGAATAACACTTTCTGTCCACTTTCTCTTGCACCTCACATTACAACTTTGATTCAGAACTTTTACATGATCCCATGAGGCTTTATTTGCAAAGTTTCTCACTACTACCTCAGAGCCAATTCCAACCAATTTCCATCCATCTCTGGAGTCTTACACCCTTCGGTCTTGATGAAATTATAGCACCTGGGAGTGGAGAAGGGAACCATCAAAATATTTTGCATCTCATGTTTTGACTTGGAGATTGGACCTCAGATGCAGAGCCTCAGGGGTGAAAGAACACAGCATTTGTCTGGGGAAAGAGAGCAGGTTATGGTGAAAGAAATGGGGGTGGGCCAGAGTGGACATCCTAGGCAATAAAATCACACTCAAACATATTCTTATACATTCTTATATTCATGGCATATTTACTTATTTGCTGATTACCATAAGATCCACATATGTTCATAAATAGGTCTTACATGCCATTCTATGATGTTTCCTTTGCTTTTTACATCAGCTGTACTACAACTTCCATTTCTTGTCAGTTCCCTCAGTGAAGAGGAATGCTTACTCAAAAAGAAGGAGACTGCATATATGAGTGGAGATGTGTCCATTATTGGGTTTTTCCCCCTCTCCTATGTAACAGCACAACGTCGTCCTCCCGAAGTAGAGAGGTCTACTGAGGAGGTGAGGTAAGTGAGTTTTGAATTTTATTCTTATTCTCTATTTGATTTTTCAGTCTGAGCATACCATTGGTCAATTAATGCACTCTGTAATCTCTACCATTTGCTACTGTGCAACTTTTAACTAGAAATAGCTCCATATTTCTTTTTTTGGAGTGCTATTTAAAAGATGATACACAGAGGGCTTACCATTTCCTATGTCAGGTAATGTGTACATTTCTTTTTATACAGTGTTAGCTCTAATTTTCTTGGACTTAGCATTCCTTCCCAGGATTGAAAACTCTCCTCACTGTAATGCCTCTACCTTGTCTCTCATTGTGTCATTGCAAATCAAGCCATTGGCATGAGTTTTGAACTAAAAAGGTACAGGAACATCTATTTCACCATAATCAAGAAGCAGATACCTTCTTACATAATTATGATTTCTAATATCTGTTGATCAGCATAGTGATGCTCATCTGTATGAGAAATAGTTCTTATTGGAAGGATGCAGTTACTATTTCAAGGTTAGAACTTCACATCAGCGGTGATTCATGTAGCAGAGGACATTCTGTCAAACCTGAAGAGAGGCATTGCCTAGAGTTTACCCTTAACACTTTGAATCTGGTTTAATTGTATACATATTCTCAGTATTTATATATCTACACGAATTGTACCCCAGGAGATTACCTTTACAAGTCCACATGGCAGAATTTAGCAGAAATTAGCATTCCAATTTCAGGCCTATTAGAATGAAAAATATGACTTGGAACATCTATTGTTTGCATCCTTTTCTCAGTGTGGCAAGTCAAGCTTTCCTTGTGGTATCGGCTCATGCTCCAGAACAAAGATGACCTCTTCTCTGCTTTAGAGAATGTCTGAACTTTTCTGATGTGTTACACATAACTTGTTTGATATATTTCTTTGGACCACCAGAACCGCGTTTACCCATTTCCAATAAATTAAGAGTAAATATTTATATGCCTGTTTTACATTTATATTTGTATAATGTCATTGATGTTGTGTCTTCTGTTGATGGATGTTTTATCTCTTCTTGGAGATGTACAAATTCTCTGTGTGGATGTCATTGGAGTCTGGTCTGACAATCAGATTTCCTAGCATAAAATATTTTGTCTGCTAGTGGCTAAAAATTATCTTTTCTACATGAAGGATTTCTCTTAACTATTTAGATGAATGTGATGAGGGTTAGCATGAATAAAATACATGGCCCTAAATTTTTAGCACAGCATGGACAAAAGGAACTTCCATTAGGAATTCAGAATACCAGTTAATGGGTAGAAAGTTACTAGAAGAAAATTATGTCTGTCAGATAATGGCTGAAACATTTAATAGAGTTCTTATTCCAGGTACATGCTGTCATCTAATGTCACTCAACATTAGTACAGAATGAGCACTGTAGGATATCAAACATTATTATTTATTCAATTAATCACAGCCCAGATATGGTCCTCTAATAGATGAACAGAGTGATGCAGAATTGACAGTGATCTTCCAGGGGAATCAGGTAAGCTATGGCAGCATTCTTTTCTAGACAAGGAGGTAGCTTCCTCTCATATGTGATGGTAGCCTATGAAATCCTGTATTCTGAAGGCTTAGAAGAAGCCAGGTGAGGCTGCTGGCTTTGGCTTAGTGCTGTCTTTTCTTAATTGCTCTATTCAGAGGGAATACTGGAGGCCTGAGAGGTGGCTCTGTACATAGTTTGGCTTGGGAAATCCTACTTGTACCTGACACAATACAGTTGTCGTACCTCAGATTTTCTCCTCTTTGCAAATTCATCCATTAGACAACATTAGGAACTCGTCCAAACATTTATGTGCACAAATCAAATCAACAGCTGCAACAAACAACTTCATGACTTGGGAATATGCTTCCCCAAACACTTAGAATATTTCTTTCTCTAGAAAACCTTCTGAACACTTTCCATATTAATGGACCATTGAACATGTGACTTCATAGACACCTCAGGCCACAAATGTATGTCAATGTTCCTATCCTGTATGCTATTTTATCACTGGCAAGTAGAAATGCTTTTTAAGAGAAATTATTTGAGCCTGTCTTTTGTAAATATAATTTATTATCGGATATTCATAAAATATTTATCTTAACTGGCTTTATGTTTTATTATATGGCTTCTCTTTAATAACCACACAATTTCTTCTCAGGTTCCCTACAATATCTGAAATATACCTAGTGATCTTACCTTTTTGTTTTTTCATAAATTATTTGGCTTGCACTTTTCCTCCAAATAAATATAAAATAGGACTGTATATTGTAATATAGATTATGTTCTTATAAATTGAATAATTCATTCTGTCTATGCCAATTTCGAAAATTACCCTCTGATGGACACAACTTTCAGATAGAAACCAAAGTTTTTTGTTCATTTTCTATTATAACATATTTATTTATCTATGGATTCTGCTGTCATTTTACTCCATCCAAGTATTTTATACAACAGTTAAATTTTTCCCTTATCATTATGAATTATTTTCCTAAAATTGGCATGCTTCCAGAAACTTTCAAATGTTTACAATGAGCATACAGACATTTTATAGCAATGCATATATGTTTTCCTTTTTGTTATTGAGAAAAGTTTATTTTTATGTGTGCTAATCCACAACTTTGAAAATGAGTAGGTAACAGTCCAAACGTACCACATTCCTCTCTCCACAATGTCAGGTGTCTGTATTGTTCCCATGTTATGGAATCCTAGGCAGAAAGTCATTACTTGTGCCTGCTTCCTGAAAGATTTCTCATCTTTGCTTCTCTATTGTTTTCAAATTTTCAAGTCTCCTATTAAGATCTGCAAACAATGTTGAATAAATCCTTTCTTTGGTGAAAGAGTGCCATGAGATTTCAGTGTTTTGCACATGGATGTCTGTATTTTCAGAGGAACCACAGGGTATAAAGGCCATTTTTCAGTAACAGAAGCTGTGTTCAATATTCACTTTTGCAACTATGTGGGTTTTTATTGGACTTTTTATTGTATTTTGCTGTTTGTTCTGCCTATGACATGACTCATTTTAATTTTAGTAGTTTTTAGATGAAATAGTCATGAAAATATTTTCTGCCAAGGCTATATATCTGAGTCACACTTCTCATAGTTCAGCGTCTTCTGTTGTTAGGAGTCTAGGCCTGAGCAAGATGCATAACTCCATGACTTCTACTAGTCTAGTTTAAAATTGTACTAGGAGTCAATGGTCAAGTTAATATGGCGTATTGCCAAATATTGTATTACTACTTGTTTATTCCACATAGCTGTGGTCATTCAAGGATTTTTTTTAGTTACAAGTTTTTCATTGTTTTTCTACTCCCTTATTAAATGACCCCAGCATTTTGGCATGGTCTCCGTAAATATGTAGATAATTTTCACTACTGTGAAAATTGTAACAATATTCATTTTCCCAATCTATTTATTGAGAGATATGTTCAGGGACTTCAGTTTTGCTGTTGATTTTACTCTCTGATTTAAGAAATGGTTTTTCTTTCATTTCCATTTTTTTAAGTTAGAATCTTATTGAGTTGGTAAGTTGAACAAGCTTAATTCTTCTCTTTCTTCTGTTCATCTACTAAGATGTAGTCTTTTCTGGGTCCAACTTATTGTGATTTCTTCATCATCTTTGGTTAGGATTCCTAAAAACCTCTTATGCAGTGAAAAATTAAAGGATCATCAATAGAATTTTTCATGTTTTTGAAGGTCTGTTTTTCACTATTAATATTTCTAAATGATGTGACTACATAAATTCCACATGTTTACAAATATGAAGCCAAAAAAGAAACATAGCACCTTATGGAGCTTTTATGTTTTCTCTTTAAGGGATTACCATAGATCAAATTAACTTGCTGATCTATGACAGTATATTAGAAAATTGAATTCTTCCCTAGAATTTTTTTCATTTTCTTAATTTTCCTTAATATGATTTAGAAAAGACATATTTTCCAATGCAAATCTTTCCTGCTGATTTTAACACCTTTAGTTTGGTTAATTTTTCTAAAGTCAGTGGTACTGGAAAAGGGTTATGAGAAATAACACAGAATTATTTTCATGTCTTTCTCCTCAGGAAATTGACCACGAATCCTCATGTTCTATTCACCATTGCCAAGGGTTTAAGGAGATACTTTGGAATCCCCTAGCCTACTGGCAATGTAGGCACTCATTCTAATGTTATTTGTCTGGCAGAAGTAACATGGGGCATTTCCAAATATGGACAGCTCCAAGTTTGACTTGTATCCTGGCTTATACTCAAAGGCCTGGATTTAATTCTCTTTGTATATCATAAGTAGGGGAACATATATTTGGATGCAGAATAAAGGGAAGTTAGTTCCTTTTAACTATTTGTTAATGCATCTAATTTTCCTTTGTTTCGGTAAGTAAGAATTTAGTTCTGCTGCCTACAACTTTTGCTACTGTTGTGGGAGGTATTTTCTGATTAATTTGCTTTTTCTGAGAAGAGGATTATTCTCATGTGTGCTCTTGCTTTCCATGATTCTCTCTCACACAAAGTAAGACATTAATTGAGTAAGGTTATCCTCTAACAGAAGGAAAGAATATCAACTTTAGTGTGATAATACGATTTACTTTGCTTCTTCAGAGCAAACTTTAGACATGGACTGATTAGTTATTCATGAGAAAATGTTTCATGTTTCAAGAACAAGTTACTTGACAAAGGGGAAATTCAAGTTCTCTTTCTTCTCCTATGAGAGTATAAATCTAATTCATGAGAAACGCTTTCATGATCCACTCAAAATGAATTACCTACTTAAAACACATATTGTGCCAGGTGCTGGTGGCTCACACCTGCAATCCTAGCTACTCAGAAGGCTGAGATAAGAGATTGCCGTTCAAAGCCAGCCCTGGCAAGAATGCCCATGAAACTCTTATCTCCAAATAAACACCTGACAACCAGAAGTGGCTCTGTGGCTCAAGTGATAGAGCACTTGCCCTGAGCTGAAGAGCTCATGGACAGGGCCCAGGCCAGAATGCAAGCCACAAAGCTGACAAAAAATTCCCCAAACAATAATATCCTAATTCAACATGTTAGGAGTAAGTTTTCAATATATGCATGTTCTTTTCTAAACAAACATTTATTCCCTCAAGTCAATGCTTAAGATTGAAGATACTTCCTGTGCCCTCTCTACAGCTATAACTTCAACAACTACCAGTTTATTCTAGCTTTGGCTTTTGCTGTTGAAGAGATCAACAAAAATCCTCATCTTTTGCCTAACATCACTATGGGATTTTCTGCCCATTCACATGGAATAAGATACTATATGCTGTATAGAGGTCTTGTCTTAAGCCTCTCTGGGAAAGATTTTATCCTGAATTATGACTGCAAGAGAGAAAGTCAGACTGTAGTAACACTGACTAGACCAGCAGGCCAAATCTCTTCCCAGTATGCAACAGTGTTGGACCTCTACAGATTCCCACAGGTGAGAGCAGGAGGGCTGCTGAGGGAGGAAAGCATGACTAGTTGATGCCATTCTCAGGCTTTTGATGCATTTAGAAGAAGAATGCTGAATTATAAATGCTCCAAATGAACTACCTTTGGTGAGATGTCGGTAAGGGCTTGCTTTTGTGTAAGAACAGCCTATAGCAGACCACAGGAATACCTCCATCTCTTACCTGGTTCCTTCATTTTCTACATAGGCCTAAGGAATTGAAGATGCCAATAAACGTGGGATAAACAAGCCTTTTTATCATTTCAGGTGTTGCTTAATGCACATCAGGACTGAGGATGTGGTTTATGTCAATCCAATTGCTCAATTGCACATTTTCTTTTCCTTCTAGCTGAATTTTGGGCGTTTTGATCCTGTCCTGAGTGACCATCGCCTGTTCCCTTCTGTCTATCAGATAGCCCCCAAGGACACATCTCTAGCTTTTGCCATGGTTTCCTTGATGGTTCATTTCAGCTGGAAGTGGGTGGGTCTGTTGATCTCAGAAGATGAGAATGGTTTGTGGATGCTGCCCCAGTTGAGACAAGAGATGAACAACTACAAAATCTGTACAGCTTTTGAACACATACTACCACTTTCTTTCTTTCGTGAAAGAACTGATTATGTATCTTTTCATCAGAAAATTAGAAATTCATTCACTAATGTGGTTGTCATTTACGGTGACAATGAATTCATGTTCAATTTGTTAAACACTTATTTCACAAGATCTTTAAGTCTAGGATTCGTCTGGGTCATAAACTCCCTTAGTACATTTCTGTCTGTGATGAAATATTTTTTGTTACATTCACTCCATGCACCTCTCATTTTTTCACATCACCATGGAGAGATTTCTGGTTTCAACAATTTTATCAAAACTGCTAATCCATCCAAATACCCAAAAGACTATTTCCTTGCTTTGTTGTGGATTCGCTCTTTTAATTGCACATTTTCTGAGTCTAGCTGTGTCACTTGGAAGAACTGTCCAGCCAATGCGTCCTTGGAATGGTTGCCTAGGTACCTTTTTGACATGGGCATGATGGAAGAGAGTTACTATATATATAATGCTGTGTATGCTGTGGCTCATGCCCTTCATGAGATGCTTATTGGTCAAGCAGAAGCACAGCCAGTGGGAAATGGAAGAAAACTTCAGTTTTCCCCTTCTCAGGTGAAGGATTTGCACTGTCAAGTAAATGCTATCAGCAAACTGACATTGTAAGAGGGATTCATTCAAACCAAACTAGGTAGTCATGACAGATTTTTTTAACAGACAAAGTGAAGCCTGGTGCCAGTGGCTCACACCGGTAATCCTATCTACTCAGGAAACTGAGATATGAGGATGGAGATTCAAATCCAGCCCTAGTAAGAAAGTCCTTGAGACTCTTATCTCCAATAAACCACTCAGAAAACTGAGAGTGAACTGTGGCTTTAGTGGTAAAACTCTAGCCTTGAGATGAAAAGCTCAGGGAGAAAACCCAAGCCCAGATATCCAGCCCCATGACCAACAACAACAACAACAAATAAAATAAAATAGAATAAAATAAAGGAGAGAGAGAAAGTGAAAAGCTTACTCAGCTTAGCTGTCTCTGATGGTTTTTGTTTTTGATTTTTTTGTGCCATCCCTTAGGCTTGAACTCAGGGCCTCGGCTTCTTTTGCTCAATGTGAGTAGTTGACCATTTAAGCAAACAGTCTCCTTGTTTTTCTCGGTAGGTAGTTGGAGATAAGTGTCTTATGGTTGTTCATGTCCTGGCTGGCATCACACTGCGATCCTCAGATCTCTGCCTCCTAAGTAGTTCGCATTACAGTTGTGAGCCACCATCATCCAGTCTGCTTTTGAAATAGTTTTTAAAACATGTAGAATTTTACCTGATAAAACAGATTGGCAAGAGTGAATTTTTAAAGAATTCGTTACTTATTGTTTTCATTCGATCTATCTGTAACATGTCAGTGTTCATGCTTTCAATTTTGTACTTATTGGTTTTGTATTTGAATTTGTAACAGGCAAGCAATAATTCAAAAGTTGTCTACCTCAAATATTTTGTGCAAAATTTTTCGTTTTTCATATAAGAAATACTTTATTTCTAATTGAGGTAGTTTTATAACTTTTTCATTGAATTACACAGTTGAGTTACTCATTAGAAAATTTCTGCCTGTGTAACCACGCAGTGGAATGTGTATGATTTGTGATTATTTCAGTGAACATACTAGATTTTTTATCTTGAAATGTTATGTTGAACAATTACTTGAATCTTGGGAGTTATCAGCATTATTTAATATTATTCATCCATAGACCTTCAGTTGTTCTCTTAATTACTCTGTTACAAATGGATTCTGAAACATTAATGAAAGGTCAATGGATACATACTCTTTCGTCCCATTTTCTTTTTTTTTTTAATTTTATTTTATTTTATTTGTGAACATATTGTACAGAGGGGTTACAATTGCATGGGCAGGATAATGCGTACATTTCTTACCAAGCATTGCAGCCTCCTCCTTTGTTTACCCTTCCCATCCCTTCCCA